AACGGTGATAAAATCAATAATTATATCAATAAAAAATGCTATGATTGTTGTCACTTCAAAAAAGAAAATATGGAATTGTATAAATTAAATTTACCTAATGAAATAGTGAATAATATTATTAATTATTCAATGGATGAAAAAGTCGAATGTGAAAATTGTAAAACTTGGAGAGATAATCAATTTTTAATCAAATGTCTGTTGGGAATAAAAAGAATAAATAATAGAAATGTAGAAGATGAGATTTTAATATTTCTAACTGTAAATAAAATACCACCTTATGATTATGTTAAACAGTTTCTTAAAATCAGTAAGAAAAAATATGAAATGATTTATGATATATTATGGATGTTGGGATATAGTCAAGAGAAAGGAGAAGATGTTAAAGAAAATATCAAATTATTTATTGAAAGTAAAAAGTTTAATATTCAAAATACATTGAGAGATATTAATATTATTTTTAAAATGATGTATGAAAGAAGAAAGACAAATCAATTAAATTATTATCCTGTACTGAAATTATAATCATACTATAATAATAACATGTAAAATCTTATATGTTATAATTATACTGTACTTATAGTTTGTAAAGATTGAAATATTTTAATTTTTCTTGATTTGCTTACTCTTTCAAAGTGCGTTGTTTGAACTTGGTATGCTCTTTTGATTTTTTCGTGCTTTGGCTGTTTGTATTTTATTTTGTTTGATACTCTTCTGATATTTTTTGTTGGTATGTTGCTTTGTTTTTGTTGATGTGTGTTTTTGAGTTTGTGTTCTTTGATGGTTTTTATTTTTGCTGTTTTGTTGGTATGCTTGTTTTAATTATTTAATGTTTTATGCTTTGATTAAATATTTTGTTGGGGGTTGTTCTGGTTTTTGAGTTGCTTGGTGGTTCTTATCTTGTTTTCTGTGAATTTTGCTGATTTTGTTGTATGCTGTTTGATTTTTTGGGTTTGATGTTAGAAGTGCCGTTTTATGTATTTTTTTGGGGGGGGGAAAGATCTTAGAGAGGAAAAGCAGAAGATCTGCGGCAAAAAGGCCTTAGGGGGGAAAGGGGAGAAATGATCTCAACAAAGGGGTGGAAAAGATCTTAGGGAGGAAAGGGAGAAGATCTGGGGAAAAAAGGCCAACAGGGAAAGGGGGGAAAAGATCTCAGGAAGGAAAAGGGAGAAGCTCTCAGGGGGGGAAAGGCCTTGGGAGGGAAAGGAGGGAAAGGATCTCAACAGGGAAAGATCTTAGGGAGGAAAGGGGGGGGGGGAAGATCTTAGGGAGGAACAGGAGAAAAGGACTTAGGGGGGAAAGCCCAAGAGGGAAAGGGGGGAAAAGATTTAGGAAGGAAAAGGGAGAAGCTCTCAGGGGAAAGGCCTTAGGGGGAAAGGGGGACAAGGATCTCAGCAGGGAAAGGGGGGGGGGGAAGATCTTAGGGAGGAAAGAGAGAAGATCTGGGGACAAAGGCCTTAGGGTGGAAAGGGGAGAACTGATCTCAACCGGGAAAGGGGTGGAAAAGATCTTAGGGAGGAAAGGAAGAAGATCTGGAGAAAAAGGCCAACAGGGAAAGGGGGGAAAGATCTAAGGAAGGAAAAGGGAGAAGCTCTCAGGGGGGGGGAAAGGCCTGAGGGGGGAAAGGGTGGGAAGGATCTCAACAGGGAAAGGGGGGAAACAATCTTAGGAAGGAAAAGGGAGAAGATCTGGAAAGGCCTTAAAGGGAAGGGGGGGAAGGATCTCAACAAGGAAAGGGGGCAAAGGATCTTAAGGAGGAATAGGAAGAAGATCTCAGCGGGGGGAAAGGCCGTAGGGGGAAAAGCGGGGAAAGGATCTCAACAGGGAAAGGGGGGGAAAGATCTCAGTGAGGAAAGGGAGAAGGTCCCAGGCAGGGAAGAGCCTTAAAGGGGAAAGGGGGAAAGGATCTCAACAGGGAAAGGGGGCAAAGGATCTTAGGGAGGAAAAGGGAGAAGATCTGAAAAGGCCTTAGGGGGAAAAGGGGGAAAGGAGCTCAACAGGGAAAGGTGGGAGAAGATCCTAGGGAGGAAAAGGGAGAAGATCTCGAGGGGAAAGGGGGAAAGGATCTCAACCAAGGGAAAAGATCTTGGGGAGGACAAGGGAGAAGATCTCAGGGGGGGAAAGGCCTTAGGGGGGAAAGGGGGGGAAAGGATCTCAACTCAACAGGGAAAGGGGGCAAAGGATCTTAGGGAGGAAAAGGGAGAAGATCTTGGGGGGGAAAACGCCTTAGGGGGGAAAGGGCGGGAAAGGATCTCAACAAGGAAAGGGAGGAAAAGATCTTAGGAAAGAAAAGGGGGAAGATCGCGGGGGGAAGAAAGGCCTTAGGGGGGAAAGGAGGGAAGGATCTCAACAGGGAGAGGGGGGAAAACATCGTAGGGAGGAAAAGGGAAAAACTCAGAGGGAGAAAGGGCCTTAGGGGGAAAGAGGGAATGGATCTCAACAGGGAAAAGTGGCAAAAGATCTTAGAGAGGAAAAGGGAGAAGATCTCAGGGGGGGAAAGGCCTTAGGGGGGAAAGGGGGGAAAGGATCTGAGCAGGGAAAGGGGGGGAAAGATCTTAGGGAGGAAAGGGAGAAGATCTGGGGGCAAAGGCCTTAGGGGGGAAAGGGGAGAAATGATCTCAACAAAGGGGTGGAAAAGATCTTAGAGAGGAAAGGGAGAAGATCTGGTGGAAAAAAGGCCAACAGGGAAAGGGGGGAAAGATCTAAGGAAGGAGAAGCTCTCAGGGGGGGAAAGGCCTCAGGGGGAAAGGGTGGGAAGGATCTAGGAAGGAAAGGGGGGGGGAAGATCTTAGGGAGGAAAGGGAGAAGATCTCTGGGAGAAAAGGACTTAGGGGGGAAAGCCCAACAGGGAAAGGGGGGAAAAGATCTTAGGAAGGAAAAGGGAGAAGCTCTCAGGGGGGGAAAGGCCTTGGGAGGGAAAGGGGGGAAAGGATCTCAACAGGGAAAGGGTGGGAAAGATCTTAAGGAGGAAAGGGGGGGGAAGATCTTAGGGAGGAAAGGGAGACGATCTGGGAGAAAAGGACTTAGGGGGGAAAGCCTAACAGGGAAAGGGGGGAAAAGATCTTCGGAAGGAAAAGGGAGAAGCTCTCAGGGGGGGGAAAGGCCTTAGGGGGGAAAGGGGGAAAAGGATCTCAGCAGGGAAAGGGGGGGGGGGAAAGATCTTAGGGAGGAAAGGGAGAAGATCTGGGGACAAAGGCCTTAGAGGGGAAAGGGGAGAAATGATCTCAACAGGGAAGGGGTGGAAAAGATCTTAGGGAGGAAAGGGATGGGGGAAAAAGGGCCAACAGGGAAAGGGGGGAAAGATCTAAGGAAGGAAAAGGGAGAAGCTCTCAGGGGGGAAAGGCCTTAGGCGGGAAAGGGTGAGAAGGATCTCAACAGGGAAAGGGGGGAAACAATCTTAGGAAGAAAAAGGGAAAAGATCTGGAAAGGCCTTAAAGGGAAGAAGGGAAAGGATCTCAACGGGGAAAGGAGGCAAAGGATCTTAAGGAGGAATAGGGAGAAGATCTCAGCGGGGGGAAAGGCCTTAGGAAGGAAAGGAGGAAAGGATCTCAACAGGGAAAGGGGGGGAAAGATCTCAGTGAGGAAAGGGAGAATATCCCAGGCAGGCAAAAGGCCTTAGGGGGGAAAGGGGGAAAGGATCTCAACAGGGAAAGGGGGCAAAGGATCTCAACCAAGGGAAAAGATCTTGGGGAGGACAAGGGAGAAGATCTCAGGGGGGGAAAGGCCTTAGGGGGGAAAGAGGGGAAAGGACCTCAACAGGGAAAGGGGGCAAAGGATCTTAGGGAGGAAAAGGGAGAAGATCTTGGGGGGGAAAACGCCTTAGGGGGGAAAGGGCGGGAAAGGATCTCAACAAGGAAAGGGGGGAAAAGATCTTAGGAAGGAAAAGGGGGAAGATCGCGGGGGGAAAAAAGGCCTTAGGGGGGAAAGGAGGGAAAGGATCTCAACAGGGAGAGGGGGGAAACATCGTAGGGAGGAAAAGGGAAAAACTCAGAGGGAGAAAGGGCCTTAGGGGGGAAAGGGGGAATGGATCTCAACAGGGAAAGGTGGCAAAAGATCTTAGGGAGGAAAAGGGAGAAGATCTCAGGGGGGGAAAGGCCTTAGGGGGGAAAGGGGGGAAAGGATCTGAGCAGGGAAAGGGGGGGAAAGATCTTAGGGAGGAAAGGGAGAAGATCTGGGGGCAAAGGCCGTAGGGGGGAAAGGGGAGAAATGATCTCAACAGGGAAAGGGGTGGAAAAGATCTTAGGGAGGAAAGGGAGAAGATCTGGGGGAAAAAAGGCCAACAGGGAAAGGGGGGAAAGATCTAAGGAAGGAAAAGGGAGAAGCTCTCAGGGGGGGGAAAGGCCTGAGGGGGGAAAGGGTGGGAAGGATCTCAACAGGGAAAGGGGGGAAACAATCTTAGGAAGGAAAAGGGAGAAGATCTGGAAAGGCCTTAAAGGGAAGGGGGAAAGGATCTCAACAGGGAAAGGGGGCAAAGGATCTTAAGGAGGAATAGGGAGAAGATCTCAGCGGGGGGAAAGGCCGTAGGGGGGAAAGGAGGGAAAGGATCTCAACAGGGAAAGGGGGGGAAAGATCTCAGGGAGGAAAGGAAAAAGATCCCAGGGAGGAAAAGGCCGTAGGGGGGAAAGTGGGGGAAAGGGAGGAAAAGGGAGAAGATCTCAGGGGGGAAAAGGCCTTAGGGGGGAAAGGGGGGAAAGATCTCAACAGGGAGAGGGGGGAAAACATCTTAGGGAGGAAAAGGGAAAAACTCAGAGGGAGAAAAGGCCTTAGGGCGGAAAGGGGGAATGGATCTCAACAAAGAAAGGGGGGCAAAAATCTCAGAGGGGAAGGGGGCAAGGGGACAAATCCAAAGGGACGCAAATAAGAAAGCAGGCCTGTAATGTCGGCGGCCTGAGCCGGAGGCGTTAAAATACACTATGGTACATTGAAATTTTATACATGGTGACATGAGCTCATATCGACAATGACGACACAACGTAGCACGTCACCGAAATTGATGCGCACGCCTGGGATTTGTCGCTCCTGCCAGCCAACTCGCGGTAAAAGAGAGAGTTCGGAGATTCCGAGAGCTGTGCGCTGTGCACTAGGCCGCCGGCAGGTTGGTCAATCCATCCACCAGGTGCAAACAAAGAGGCTTCGGGTGACACGGCCTCCAATGAACGGCCAATTTGCCAAAGCCACGAGCGAGAGCAATTTGGGTCCATGTGTCGTCTGTCTTACGTCTCAGACTTTCACACAAGCGCTTAGAGCAGGTGGAGCCACCAAGTCACCAAGTACAACCAATGGAGCAACACCAAATCGCACGTGGCACGTTCACTCCACGCCTGTGGCGGGCCACATTTCCGATCGTCCCAAGGTGAGCGCCTGGTGCACCCGAGGAGGTCCCGCCCCAACGCCCCCTTCGCCCCTTCGCCCCTTCGCCCCGTCGCCCCGTCGCCCCGTCGCCCCGCTCCTTGGCTCGAGTTCCCAAGGCCCTGGGCTAGACCAATGGCCAGCGCCAGGACCTGGCAAGTGCAGACGAATCAGAATCAGAAGAATCAGAAGAATCGATCGAAGAATCAGACGAATCAGACGAATCAGAAGAATCAGAAGAATCAGAAGTCAGGACATGTCATGAAAACATGTCGTAAGTCTCGATGTGTCGCTCCGCATTCGCACTTCGCATTTCGCATCGCGCGCGCTTTCACGCCCCCGTCATGGCGTCAACAGCTTTCTGGTCATCGCCCTCCTCTACCATCTCCAGGGCTGCGCCACGGGTTTCCGGATCTTTGGCCGCCTCTTCCTCCACCTCCACCGGCACATCCTCGGGCATGTTGACCACCACCGGCTCGTTCTCGGTCTCCTCGTTGGCTGGCGGCTCAGGCGGCGGGGGCTTGGCAAACTTCACATTCCACCGGCCCTCCGGCCCCGGGTAGGGACCCTCGTGGAAACCCACCGGGCCATCCCCGTTGCTCTGGGCGTAGAGGTACTTTGGTGACTCGCAGTCCGTCTTGATCTCATAGCCTCGCTCCTTGGGAACAAAAGTCCAGCGGTCGTTGCAGTCCTCCGAAAGCTCCTCCACCCGGAGATGCTTGGTCGCATCAAAGCCCTTGTCGGGGTTGGCAGACAGGAAGTTGAAGGTGGGCACAGCTTGTGCATCCGCCCTCATCATCTGCCCTTGCAAGTATGTGCTTCCTGCTTTCTCGACACCCTGCCAAAAGCCACGCCTCCATTGCTTCTTTCGCACGATGGTAAGAGCCTTTGCCTCCTCTGTGTCGTTCTTGAAAGGCTCAGGCATGTTCTCCTGGCGTCTCAATACGTGTCAAAAGCACCACCCTCCCGAGCCCGCCCTTGGGCTCTTTTTGGGCTCTCTTGGGCCCCGTCCTTGTCAGGGAGGTTGGCCATGTTGGTGTTCAGTGGGTCCGTCTTTGCCGCATCCTCGTCCAGCTGCGGCTTCTCGTGCACCAGGAACCGCTTCGATGCCAAGTTCTCCTGAATTCAAAAGAGAGTCTGAGAGAGCGAGTTGAGCGACTTCAGAGTCAGTTGTTTAGATCGAATTCCGAATTCCGAGGTTCGAGAAATCATGAGAAATCCAGAGAAATCCAGAGAAATCGACTTCCGAATCGAGTGCCACATTCCGTCCAGCAGGAAGGGCTTCTTGAAAATCTCCTCGTGCAGCTTCTCGGGATCTAAAGGTGGAGTCTCCGCCGGGGTGAGATTCCAGATCTGACGGTCCTGGTCAGTGGTGTATTGATCGGTGAATTTCAAGGTCTTGTCTTCTTCCATGGTGAGGAACTTCGCGGTCTGGCGCTTGAGGCCTAAGGCCCCCATCACCTTGGACATGCCTGCGGGTGGCTTGAGGCCGCCGCAGGCGGTCTTCAACTTCCAGCCCGTGAAGACGTTGTTCTCCGTGGCCCGCTGCAGCAACCAGCAGCGGTTGCAGGCCGTGACGTTGCCGCAGTTCACGGCCATGGGATCACAGCGCTCAGAGATGCTGTTGGCCCCGCTCTCTGCAGAGAGGCATCTGCCGTGATCCGACAGCACCATGGCCAAAGGCAGCTTCACATAGCGACAGTCCCGATCACCCTCCCACCAGTGACCCTCCTTCAACTCTGGCACCTTCTTCTTCTCTCGTAAGGATTTCATGTCCTTCACCTGGACACATTCCTTCACCGTCACCCGGGCTCGGCTCTCCTTGCACTCGTCCTCCTCACAAAGCTTCTGGTTCACCTCCCACTCCGACGACTCAGTGGCAGGGTCCTGGCACCGAGATCCCAAGCTGGCTTACCTAACAGCCTGCTTAAGACGAGACAATGCGCATCCAAACATGCTCACGTGATGCGTAAGGGCTGCTTTCAGGTTGAGAATGGGCTGGCTTGTGGAGGGTTGTGGTTGCCTCAAGGCCTGGATAGCTCAGGTGGTTAGGCTTGGTGGGTTTAGGGCGAAATGAGGCTTCAGGGTAGGGCCTGCAGCTGCTTCTCACCCAAACGGCGCGTGACATTGATCACCTTGCCATTCAGATTCAGGATCTTCTGTGTGGGGTTCTCGATTGCAAAGGACGTACGCAGCTTGAGCTCCGGGAAGAAATCCGCCCCGCGCTGGTGCTCCGATGTTGCCAAGTCGGCCAAGTGCTCCGGGTGCGGGCGCGGGGTCAGCGGGGTCAGCGGGGTCAGCGGGGTCAGCGGGGTCAGCGGGGTCGGGTCGAGCTCGAAATGCCGCGCCTTCATACCATCGAGCCGAAAGGAGCCGACTCGGTCGCAAGTCCAGGTGTCACTGGCCACCAAGCCGCACCAGCGCGTGCCACTCGTGCCACTCGTGCCACTTGCTCACGTAACGGCCACGTGAACCAAGGAATCCATCTTTGAGCCATGACAGCTTGAGGTCTCCAGCACTCACGAAAACCGCAAAAAAAAGACAAGTGCCACGAGCCATGTTGCTTTGAGAAACACTCAAACAAACACCTGGCCACTGGCCAGCTGAATCTCCGCCCATCCCGCTCCCGCTCCTTGAACATCTCAGCTGCAACTCAAGGAGGCTAGGCATCCTTGAGCCACATCTGCAGGAACCGACTTGACACGAGCCTTGCCTCAACGCGCGACACATGGGGCCCATAGCTTTTTGCAGACTTACGGCCAAGGTAAGGTTGGTGAAAGCATTGAGAGCCAGTTCCATTGAACATTAATCACACATCGAGCACGAATTCGCCTTGCATTGTGAGACTTGCCAGTTCTCTGGATGAAAGCCAATTGATACCAGGAGACGACGTCTCAAGCAATCAAGCACTCAAGCAATTGCCGAGCCTCAAGGAGTTTTGAAAAGCATCACGCCTCAGACTCGGCTTCGTGTTTCATGCGTGCAACGTGTGAGAGTTGCAGCCCCGTTACCCATCTGGCCGATGTAGAAGTAGCCTCGAGTGATCCCAAGGTACCGCGTGTGCCGCGTGTGTTGCCCAAGGCCCCGGCAATAGCAGCCTTTCTCGTGGGTGACCTATGTGCTTGCACTTGCGATACTTCAATATCATTCGATTCATTTGACGAGCTGTGGCAAAAGCCCAAGGCTAGGACATAGCTAGAGAAGTGCCGACCGACCATGCAGTGCCAAGTGGGGCCATACCTCGGACGCTGAAAGAGATCCAAACGTTGCGAAAGGGACGAGTCGGTTACATGCAGCTGGACATCAGCTGATCTGATCAGCTGATCCAAATTGAGCCAATGCCACAGATGGCCTGTGGACCCATGCCGATACGCTCCGCCCGTTGAATTTGTCACTCGCAGGAAAGAGCCGAAACCAGAGATGACTCATATCTCTACTCCCAGGTCCAGCCACGTTGCTGGTCTTCAAATTGCTCCTTCAGATCTGAAGCAATGTCCTTCTCCAGGTTGTAGTGCTCCATGGCGTACCTACGGCAGGCGAGGGGCAAAGTTGAAATGGTACGACGTGCCAGCAGAGCTCTTTCGGAAGTGCACATCAAGCCTGGCAGCCTTTGGCTGGTGAGACATCACTGCAGGACGTCGTGTCCTGGACAAAGCTTGTGCATCCGGAAGCAGAGCTTGCACCTGAGAAAGATGTGCCGGTGCTCCGAACCAACTGACACGAGATCGACCTTGAACTCAGCAACTCTAAGCAACTGACTTGTACGGAAGGAACTGTCCATCCCTCCTTCGCTTTCCGCTTTCGCTTCACATTGTTCGCATCACTTCACTCCGCACTGTTCAGTTCCCCCCACAATGCACTCCTGCCCCGCACCCGCTGGCCCATCTTGGCCTGACAATGCTGCAAGCTTGCAAGCTGCAATTCATCAGACTCATCGGCAAATGTGTAGCAACCCGAGCAACTTGATATAACTTGATGCATCTTCCGCGCCACTGCGTAGATCCGGAAGCGGTCGCCCGCCTCACTGAGCCATCCGGGTCGGGATCCCGGTCGGGCCTGTGAGCCTACTCTCAAGGCCTCTGGTCCCCAGCGCTGAGGTGGCAATGCCACATCTTCCCTCCTGCGCACGGCACACACGGCTCACACGGCTCACACGGCTCACACTCCACTCGGGCACTGGAGCACTGCACTCAGGTTAGGAAACGCAAGCATCTCCAAAGGTCCTGGGCAACCGGTTTCCCTGGCCGTCAGATGCGGCACAACTGGATCCGAAACTCGGAATGCCAAAGAATCTGCAAATCTATATGCAAATCAGCAATTCTGAATCTTGAGTGAGTCCAAAAACTCGAAATGAATTCGAAAACGCGGAGATAAATCAATCATTTCAAGCGGCCAAAGAGGGCGCAGATTGCACACGTGGGATCTCTGGCACCTGTCCGGCCAAGATAGCGATCGGTGACATCGGTTGGCCATGGATTTGGGGTGATGCAATGGAAATCCGCCGACCCCTTTGCAAAAGCCAAGTTAGTCTCTGCAAAGGGGCGAGGCGTGTTCTAAGTGGTGGTTAGGGGGAGTCTGAGGGGGGAGGGGGGGTCCCGCGGCGGATTTTTGACACGCCTAACCTCTAACCCTAACACTTAACTGACCTCTAACCCTAACCTCTAACCCTAACCTCTAACTCTAACCTCTAACCCAAACCTCTAACCTCTAACCCTAACCTCTAACCCGAACCTCTAACCCTAACGTCTAACCTCTAACCCTAACCTCTAACCTTAACCTCTAACCGTGAGGCTGGATGATGATGATGAAAGACTACGGGAAGATGACGGAAGACTACGGGAAGATGACGGGAAGCTGACAGAAGACTGCGGGAAGATGACGGAACACTGCGGGAGACGACGGAAAACTACGGGAAGATGACGGAAGACTACGGGAAGATGACGAAAGACTACGGGAAGAGGACGGAAGACTACGGGAAGATGACGGAAGACTACGATAAGATGACCCTACCCTAACCCTAACCTCTAACCCTAACCTCTAACCCTAACCTCTAACCCTAACCTCTAACCCTAACCTCTAACCCTAACCTCTAACCTTAACCTCTAACCTAACCTCTAACCCTAACCTCTAACCCTAACCTCTAACTCTAACCTCTAACCCTAACCTCTAACCCTAACCTAACCTCTAACCCTAACCTCTAACCCTAACCTCTAACACTAACCTTAACCACTAACCGTGAGGATGGATCATGATGATGAAAGACTACGGGAAGATGACGGAAGACTACGGGAAGATGACGGGAAGGCTGACCAAAGACTACGGGAAGATGACGGAAGACTGCGGGAGATGACGGAAGACGGAAAGATGACGGAAAACAACAGGAAGCTTCCGGGAAGATGACGGAAGTCTGCGGGAAGATGACGGAAGACCACGGGAGGATGACGGAAGACTGCATGAAGATGACGGAAGACTACGGGAAGATGACGGGAAGCTGACGGAAGACTGCGGGAAGATGACGGAAGACTACGGGAACACGACGGCAGACTGTGGGAAGCTGACGGAAGACTACGGGAAGATGACGGAAGACTACGGGAAGATGACGGAAGACTACGGGAAGATTGACGGAAGACTACGGGAAGATGGCGGGAAGCTGACAGAAGACTACGGGAAGATGATGGAAGACTACGGGCGGACAACGGAAGACTACGGGAAGATGACGGAAGACTACGGGAAGCTGACGGAAGACTGACAGAAGACTATGGGAAGATGACGGAACACTACGACGGAAGACTACGGGAAGATGACGGAAGACTACGGCAAGATGACCCTAACCCCCCTACCCTAACCTCTGACCCTAACCTCTAACCCTAACCCCTAACCCTCACCTCTAACCTCTACGGGAAGATGACGGACTACGGGAAGAGGACGGAAGGCTATGGGAAGCTGACGGAAGACTACGGGAAGCCGATTGGAAGATGACGGAAGACTGCGGGAAGATAACGGAAGACTACGGGGAGATGACGGAAGACTACACGAAGATGACGGAAGACTACGGGAAGATGACGATGATGATGATGCTGCTGATGATGCTGCTGAGGATGATGAAGATGATGATGATGATGATGAAGAGTGATGATGATCAGGAGGATGGTGAGGATGATGATGATGCTGCTGCTGCATGCTGATGAGGATGACGATGGTGATGATGCTGGATGATGAGGCTGAGGATGATGATGATGATGCTGATGAGGATGAGGACGAGAATGAGGATGATGATTGACGACGACATGGCGGGTGGTGACGATGATGATGATGATGATGCATCGTCCTCATTCATCGGCATGAGCAGCATCATCGTCATCCTCCTCATCACGCCATCCAGCATCATCATCAGCCTCATCATCCCGCATGAAGCCAGACGTTGGAGAACATCCGCCAGCATGCGAGGCATCACCCCAGACACCTGCAGGATGATGCAGGAGGTGAAGCGGGGGATGCAAAAGCTGCCTTTTTTCCCGACATTCGAAGACCAAAAAGGCAGCTCCTGCATCCCCAGCATGCAAAGCATCCTCCTGGGCACCTGCAGGATGATGCTGGTGAAGCGGGCGATGCAAAAGCTGCCTTTTTTCCCGACATTCGAAGACCAAAAAGGCAGCTCCTGCATCCCCAGCATGCGAAGCATCACCCGGGCACCTGCAGGATGATGCTGGTGAAGCTGGGGATGCAAAAGCTGCCTTTTTCTACAAATAGCCCTTGCGCCAGGATGCTGCCGCCGTGCGGATGCAGCTGCGCCAATTGCTGGAGATAACAATGATGATGCTGTTACGGGGGTTGGCGGCATCAGGCGTCAGCCTGCTAAATACGCTGGAATTCCTTCATGCAAAGGAAAAGTGTCCAAACCCAAACGCGGCCTTGAGAGCTTTGCCAGCCTGCGCAATCCAAATTTGAGAGAACATGAGACCGTGACAAGACCCTGACCGCACTGCCGGTTGCGCTCTCGCTTTTTCCGCGCTTTCTTCAGTCGCCCGCGCTATAAAGCATGGACATCTTGCCCCCTTGCGAGTTTGGTAACGCGCAGCCCTCGATCATTCTGCCGTGGAGCGCGTTGCGTAGGATCTTCCAATTGTTCCGTGACACCTGCACTGAGTTGCCCGAATCCGGACACAGGCACGTTCAAGTTGCCCTTCCAGCCGCTGCGTCCCCCTGCCTTCCCGTCCTTCGGAGTGTCGGAAACAAGAGCCTTGATGGCCTCCTCACTCATCCACTTGGCATCACTGAGCTCGACTTCATCGATCTGTATAGTCTCATTGACGGCCTTGGAATGGGATCCACTGAGGTGAATTCTCCGAGAGAATCAATTTGCTTTTTCGGGCGGGGTAGTTGACCGGGGCTTGAAAACGGCAGTGAGGGTCTGACGGTCTGACCAGTTCCATAGTGAGACCCAAAGTTGGCAAACTATCACTTTCCATGCCCAGAGTCTTCTGAAAGCTGCGAGACATAAAGTAGAAAGCCTCTGGAAGCAACTTCAAAGGGTTGCGCTTACCCCGGCGCTGTGAAACATGGGTGGAACAGTCAGCATGTCAACGTCGTGGAGATGGAAGCTGCATAAAGCCTTTACGGGCTTTTGCAAAGCTTGCTTGGGACTTTCGCGGAAGTCCCGCCTTCTAGTCATGCATCGGATCATAGCCCCTACAATCGTAAACATCTCGCAACCGTTTCTGGACGGCCCCTTTTCTTCAGGATCTGGTTCTTAGCGTGGGCTTAAGTCGGTGCAGGGTAGGCTCAGCGCGAGATTCGGATTGGTGTTAGCAAGGCTGGCTTGGGTTTGGGTTTGGGTTGTGGGTTCAGGGTGGGCTTAGGGGGGGCGGACAACAACTTGAAAATGCGTCCCCTTGGATCTGCCTGAAGCTTCACTATGACGTAGATGTCGCCTTGCCCAAAGCGGACACCATGGCTGTGGCGCAGGCTAACCAATCCTTGGTAAGAGATGCCCAAACTCGACGCTTTGTCACTTGCAATTTGCAGCAAGCCGCCGAGGAGGGTGGCCGTAACTCCGGTTTCCTCGGGGCGACGCTTGCGACGCGTGCAAGCACCGGCTCCCGGTGCCTCCTTCACTTCCCTCAACACGGTGTCTGCCTGCGATTTCCGACAACGTCCCGAATTTTCGACGTTCCGTTGGGCAGCCGTTCCAAGTCACCGCGTCACCGAGTCCGTCTGGGCAGCCCCGCAAAGTCCTCCCCAGGATCCGCGAGGCCACCTCGCGCTGTCACTGGAGACCAGCCCAAGTAACACTGGGGCTCGCGTCACTCGTTCACGGCTTCTTCGGATGCGCCTGGGAGCTTCCAGCCTAGGCGCACAGCGCGCTTGCCCTGCGCTTTGCGCTGCGCTTGCGCTCTTGCCAGCTTGCCTTTTGGGGGATTTGACATTAGGTAAGCAACGCATGAGTCAAGCAGCTGCCCTGGAAGTCGGGCAAAGGCGAGACTCTTTCTTGAACCATCAGGATCTCACCCTTCGCATCGCGTCACTTGCGACACTCAAGTCCCTAGACTCCCTAGAGCCCTGGCCTTGCTGTTGAGCACAACGCCGCCGACCCCAATTTGGGTAAAGCTAAACCTGCCCCACATACCGCACAAGTCGAGGGAAGAACACTCATATACGCTAATGCTTCCCACCAGCGAACCAGAAACCGGGACCCTTATTAACCCCAGTCCGGTAGGCGAGCGCAAACCCTGTTTTTGATCTGGGCATCTTGAGCCAAATGGTCATTGCCATTTGACAAATCCATGCAAAGCAAAGGGGCCTCCAACATCACCCAACATCACATACATGCACACCCTTCTGGGGTACCTCTTTGGGGTCAAGGGGTCGTGATTATTCCTCCCCGTGCTCACTAAGAGACTTGTATTTTACAGTCGCGCTTGAGCTGCGACCTATGTGATGCAAGGTCCTCTACCAGACCATAAGGAGGGCTTACCTATGATTTTGCACGTTTGTTACTGCTTGGACATCTCAGGCCGGACATCTTTCAGCTTTTCAGGCAAATTGGTTCTGATGCCTAAACGCTTTAGAGCGTGGTCCCACTTCAAGGGCTGCAGTGCTTTTGTGAAGATGTCTGCTGCCTGGAGATCGGTAGCTACATACTTGATGACTACACCCGTGCCGGGTTCTAGTTGCTCAGCAAGCGCGGACAAATTCACTTTATGAGTGCGCTGTGTGTGCCGCATTTTTGGTGAGTAACCTTTCTTGGCAACGAGGATAGTGGCTTGGTTATCTTCGTGCAGCACCAACTCAACCGGGCGTCCAAGCAGACGTTCCCACAAGGTCAAGGCTTTGGTGGTGGATCTCGACACTGATGTCTGTCGTTTGCTCAGCCATGCTAAAGGAAAATGGGTGTTCGGTCCTTTGAGGACCAAGAAGACTTCGCGTCCCTTTCTCCAGCATAGTCGGCATCCGCATACAGAGCGAGGTGAAGATCTTGCGGGTTGTCCTTTATGACTCCTACCAACCGGTAGTGCGTAGTCGAGTGGATGTACGCGATAAGACGGGCGAGCTGCCTATCATGGTTGCGAGACCACTTCTGCACGGCGGTTGCTAGGTCACCTATGGGCTTGATGATGTCAGGACGCGCTAGTCGTCCCAGCCAGAAGGCCTTCATGAGGAGTTTGCACGCGTTTGGGGCTAGCTCGCCAGCTGACTGGTCCTCTCAGGAGGAAGTGATCCGTCTAGTAGTTACCTTCCGGAGCTTCTCGGGCTGAGTGCCGGTTATAGAACAAAACAGTTCTACAGTTTGACGGGCATAGTTGTTCATGCCAAAGGCAACGGCACCCTTTAATGCGCTTACAGCTGCATTCAGATCATGCTCTTGAGGCTCTGCGGGGCCATCTATAAAGACATGATTACGCCCGAGCACCCGAAAGATCGGCTCGGGAACCTCTACATTTATCATTTTTGTGCATCTGCGGGACCCGAAAGGGTCAAGTCATCTTCACGAACTTGGAACCCCATTCCTTTGGCCGCAGCTCAGGCGGGAGTTCAATCCACGTCTGAAACTGTGAGCTAAGGAACGCCTGGACGTAGGCTTTCACCGCGTCAGCGGTGGTGACCGTGTGTCCTGGGATACACCCATACGCCAGACAGGCGTTTAGGCCTTGTGCCGAGGTGGGGTTGGCCCCCAGTTCCTGGTACACCGCGGGTGCACCGGCTTCATCTTTTGCACAGTCTCCCCTGAACACGATGCGCCCCTTTACCTTTTGGAGGTGCTTCGCAAGTTCATAGAACTTGATGCTGGCGATCGTCATGAGCTGACCAAAGTGCACCTTGATCCCAGACTGTCGCGCTTGAGCTGCGACCTCAGCCGGACAGTTGAACTATCCCACACTCCTACGTCTTGGAGTCCGGTCGCCTCCTGCTTGATTGCCTCTAATGCTTCAGGAGATGCAAGCATCTCGGAACGAGACAGGAGTTTGGTGACCATTGCATGCGCTTCTGTTTCGGCAGCTTTGGCGGGCATGCCGACAGCACTGGCAAGTAGACCTTGGACATCGAGGAGTTCCTCAACAATCTCTTTTGTCTTAGAGTCTGATTCAACGAGGAGGGTGAAGTCATCTGCTCCGGAAAGAGGAGATTCGTGCTTTAGGGATTGCTCCTTAACACGATGCTCCGTCTGCTGAGTGATGCCGCTGGAGTATGCTTTTCGGACTTTGAGTGCGGACACTGGCGATCAGCGAATGCTTCGGCAAGGACCTTTGATGTAGTTTTGATGCGCCAAGGCTTCTTGATGGGTGAGCCATTCTCATCCGTCAAACCCACAGCACAGCCATGGAACGAAACACCGTGGAACACATCCTTGTGGCGTTCGAAGAACTCGGCTACATCTGGCCTCTGCCAGCCCTCGCAGTCACGTGGCCACTCGAAAGTGACTGATCCACCAGCCTTCAAAACATGCTCTGCGTGCAATGCAAACTTTGAAAACATCACTTTGGATTGCTTGACTTTTTCCCCTAACTTTTTCTTAAACGGCTTACCTAACCTGTGGAGGCTCAGCCTCTGCCAGGGCGATCCTGAGACACATGGAATGGCTGCCCACAAGTTGGGTTGGACGCACTGCGAGACGCGAGCTGCTCATCCGCAACGCCTGCTCTAAGTCAATGTACTCTTTTGCTAATCGGACATGTGGGATGTTGAGATCCTTGAACACATTACCCATTGAGGAATTAGGTGAACAAGCAAATTCAAACATCGGGCCAACAGCATCACGCGCTAGGCGCTTGCGAGCACGCTTGTTGCCAACGGTAATTGGAGAGCGTTCATCGCCCCCCTGAAGCTGGCAAGGGTTACCGAAAACGGACGGCTTTTCTTTCGTGGTCTCAGCAAGTGTTGTGCTGGAAGCGGTTGACACGGTAACGGCTGCTCCTGAGCTGACTGGGACGTTACCCTGCCCCCTGCTGCGCTTAAAGCTGCAGCCGAATGCTCGGAATCACTATATAACCTAAAAATGGTTATATGCCAGTCCAGAACACAGGGAGTTCTCGATGTGCTGAGAATCTGCCTGCCCAACCATCACTGATATCTTCCTTGCTACCATCTTGCTGGGACACAACGCGAGTGGTCCTACCGGGTGTGATTCTGCACACTGACACGGGACAATCACCGACATCTTTGGGAGTGAAAAGTTTAATCCTAGGCTGATGATGCACGCGGAGTAGCACGTTACCACTAGGCTTATAAACCCATTCATCCTTCTTGGTTGATGCAGGGACAGCGTCGGTATGCGGAGCACTGGGCCGAGAAGAGGCGGGCTCTCCAAGCAAGGCGCAGGCGATCTCGCTGTCTCCCTCCTCAAAAACCTCGATCTCTGGGGCTTCTGGGTTTCTAGGGAGGCGGCCTTTGCAGCGCGTGTAGCAGCTGGTTTGTTGGCCTCCTCACTTGC